TAGGTTGGATGAGTGTTTGTGGTCATTATCTTCTTGGTAGTAGAGTCCTTCACCAATAATACACAAGCCACTGTATCTGATGGCACTTGTGCTGATCCATTATTCCATCTATTTTGCAAATGTCTCCTGTCAGATATTTCAAACTTGGACTCATCCTTCCATAACATCCTTTTCCAATCATCAACAGTCCAGTTTTGTACTTTTTAGCAAATTAAATATTCCATTCTCGTTGAATCTTCTTGATACTGTAAACCTGGACACTTTTCTTTCATTTCGTACATGGTCGTTTATCTCATGCTTGACATCAGTGGCAGTCTTCCTTCTGTCTCGAAGGCTGCATAAATGAAGATACTTAACATCAGTATCATTGAGTTTAGGTGTTCTACCTCTTCCTTTCCTATTTTCAAATTTACCTGTCTAGATCTCACGAGCTAGGGTGTATTTGACAGTGTTTGTGGAGCATTTCAAGTCTGTAGCAATTTGTCGGAGATTCCAACCAGCATCAGGTAAAGCTCTTATGTAAACTCTGCTCTACTTACAATTCTCTACACTTTTTGGGCCGTGGCATGACAACAAAACTTAATATATAGTATTAAACACTGTTTTTATCAAGGTTTATCTGTGGAGTGCTATTAAATTGACTTCTTCTAGTATATACCAGAACCATATGCTAGCTTCTTTCTATATAATTAAGACACTGCATGACAGCTATTTCAGACCCTAAGTTTGATCACTATGTTCATTCAAGCAGAACCCTTATGACACATGCCCTTGGTACAAGTATATATGGGAATTCTAAAACATGATAAGTATTCTCACCCTGGCTCATTCAGTTGTCAACAGGGACCAATGAAGCATTACCAAAGTGTTGAAATTTACATTCTGTAATGGCATGAAAGAATTAGCCCCATAAAATGGAAAAAATGACAAAATATTCTCTTGTCCTAACACTTTTGCACAGTACTGTACATAACAAAATGTTCCTGTTCTTTTCAGCATGCCAGAGTTTAAGCATGTGTTTGTTTTTTTTGAATTTGTTAACAAATGATTTATTATGTACATGCAAGAAATGCATTAATAATACACTATTACTTCTAGTATAGAATGGTGAAAGAAGCGTTACACGAAAGGGCAAATCTCCTAGCCATAGCCCCCCATCTCTCATATCCTCTTCCAATAATGCTTCCTATATACAAGTGAGTATTAGATATTTATTTTATACAAATGAGTGACACACTGAGTATGTTGAGGTACAGGTAGCGATTCATGTTTACATAAGTATTCAGAAAGTGTCTCACAATGGACAGTTTTTAATAATTCTACAGCATTAAAACTTGTAAGTATTTTAGATGGACCATGGCAAACCTCTCATCAGAAAGTAACATCACAGTCCTTCTTTTATGATTTCTCTTCCCCTTGCTGGCTCAGCAGTAAGTCTGGGGGCTTATAATGCTAAACATTGGTATTTGATACCTGCAGTAGGCAGATCACAAATATCCCATTGTGTAGCTTTGAACTTAACAACAAATTAGCAAACAAAATCGTTCATGATTAAGTAACATTTGCTTTGGGTGACTCCATTTTATATGCATAATCATGTAAATATCTTTATGAATCACATGATTAGTACCCCTAGTATTTATATGGGGGTGTTATGTGTTATACTTTAATATTGTGAAATTCTGAAATACACTGAGCTTGTGGAAAATAAATTTCTATTTTCATATTGTCTATCATTTCTGACTCTTAACCCCCTCTTGCTCTTTATGCACTGATGTCACTTCTCCCTACAACTTGCAAGTGTTTATCAACAGTATGGTCCGTTTATGGCTGAAATAAGAATGCACCATGATGTTCCATGTTACTCACAGTTATAGGTTGAAACATTTTAGGTTTATTTTTATGTTGTATTAAAATTTAGTGAAGGTCGACAATTACAACATGGAAACAGACAAAAGGGGATTTTAAAATCAAACAATTCCTTATGGGGGGGGGCTTTAAATGATCCTTCATCTTTGTTAGTCATCATGTGAAAATTTAATGATGGGTGACTCAAGACTAAGCAGTCCTTGTAGTCCTATTGTGTCCTGCATTGTTACAGAAGGAGAGGCACCAAGAAGTGATAGCATTTCTAAATGTATGAAACCAAAATGAAAATTCAATCATCAGTGGCTTAATCAGTTTGCATGGCTGTCTTACAGCCAAGTCTTGGGTATGCCATAAATAATTTAAAAAAATGTAGCTGACTGCTGATGGTCTTGATCATGTGTGTCTGGAAGATATATTACAGAGGGGGACAAGATGACAAAATGATATCAAAGCTATAACTAGGGAAATGCAAAATTGATGAGCCAGGGGAGCACTTTCCCTGCAAATGCCAATGGTGTTGACCTTAAATGGGTAGACAGCATAATTTAAGAAAGGCACGCTTTGGAGTCAGGAAGAAAGCCAAACATGTGAAGCAAATATGGGATAAAGCTGCCTCTGCTGAAATTTTTTGTTCTCTGTGTGTGAAGAAAATGGACTTTACTACATTCGTCATTGAATGTTAAAAATGGACTTTGATACATTTTAGTATTGAATGTTAAATTCCAAAATATTACAAACCCTTAAGTGAATTTCTGACTTGGTAAAATTAGTTGATGAGCTTAAGGTAATAATGTCTGAAAGTACTGTAGTGACAGTGTACCACATTTACTCATCATCAGGGAAGATGTTATGAGAGATTCAGAAAGTGAGGCTTCATAAATGTAATAATAAACAAGTCATCAGTTCACTGCCACTGATCTTATTTGTGTGTTTGGCAAAAAATATATATATATCATTTTGGGTATGGTTCTTCTGTCTAATGCAACAGCAAGTCTAGTGTGACAAGTTGAAGAAAAATGTCCATCCAGTTATTGTGACCATTCAGTGTATTACCCAAAGGCTGTACTTGTCATTTTGAATAAGCAAGGACATTGCATGTTTATTTATCTTTGATGAAAGCATTAGAAGAATGTTCAAATTTTTTATGGCTAAACTTAGAAGAGACAGTTCGTACGTCAAATGAAGTTATCTTGAAATGTAAAACTGAGCATTGGTTGTTCAGCAAGATGAAAGCCTTGTACGCACTGCTACAGAACTGGAAAATAATTGTTGCCAGTAAAAGTGCGGAATTAGCCAAAGGGTATTTCAAAGGAACTGAAGTGGTTCCAGTTTGAGAAGCTTCTGTATTTCTTAATAAACTTCTATAGTTAGCTGTGAGAACTTAAAAAACGTAGCGAATGATCTGTGATATGGAGCATTTTGTTCGGGTGTTACAAACATTATATGAAGAGAGAAAGAGGAGAATATGGGCAAAGTTTAAATTGCTGAATGTTACAGTTAAATAATATTGAGCTGAGTAAAACCAGAAATAAAACTTTTAAACTATCCACTAAATTGTGCTGGAAAATGTACAGAAATTCATTTATGGCAGACTGTCTTCTGTTTCTTTTGACATTTTAAAGTCTGTTCAAATATTTGATAAGCTTATGCTGACTGGGCAAATATTTTTTTTACTTTGGTTTGATAAAAAAGAACGTTTTTAGAAGGCACATTTATTCAGCAGAAGGCAACGTTGACTTGCCTCAAACAGAATGGAATGACAACAAAATGTCTCTTCTTTAATTACTCTAACAGGATCAGTTCCTCACACTTCTTTCCTTCCTTTCATCAGGTTTGTTGATATTTCGGCTGTGAAGACAGCATCAAATGAGTGGTGTTGCTTCAGGTACCAGAAGAAGATAAAGACTGTATACCATTCATTACTGGAAGGTTAAACTGTGGATAACCACCAGGTGTCGTTGTCAAGGGACAAACAAGAACTTTGAGTATTTATCTGCTAAACATCCCCATCATTTGGAAGAAACAACTCCAATATGAAGTGAAGAAATCATGAAATGTAAAACTCTACTCTTTTTTTTTTTCTAACATTTGTTCTCTCTTTTTTTTTCTTTTTTTTTTCAAATTGAAGTGCCCAGTTCTTGCATAATCATGGCTGTCAGCATGATTAACAATGGCAGATTCAAAGAAGAGCATGAATCTGGGAAATTCAACCTAATAAACTGTTATTAATCCCCAATACTGCCATGAAGCAGTTGTTAAAACAAAAGTCACTATTGAAGACAAAGCATTTGAGAGTATGATAGCTGGAAACAGTATTGTTCGCAGGTCACAATAATGAAGTGATCTATGCATGTAGTATAAAACATTTTGTAAAATATTTGCTTTTTGATTATTGCAGATGGTGGGAGCTACCATATTATTGGATGGGGATAAAGATGTATGACCTGGTGGCGGGTAGACAGAAAGTTAAGTCAAGCTACTTTCTCTCCAAAGAAAATGCTGTTGAATTGTTTCCAATGCTTAAAAAGGATAAATTATGTGGTGCCTTTGTGTATTATGATGGTAAGTACCGAGGTCACATAAACATTGTTTATATTCTTGTGTGTTATGATGGTAAATAACATGGTCACATAAGCATTGTTTATATTCTTGTGTATTATGATGGTAGGTACCAAGGTCACATAAACATTGTTTATATTCTTGTGTGTTATGATGGTAAATAACATGGTCACATAAACATTGTTTATATTCTTGTGTGTTATGATGGTAAATAACATGGTCACATAAACATTGTTTATATTCTTGTGTGTTATGATGGTAAATAACATGGTCACATAAACATTGTTTATATTCTTGTGTGTTATGATGGTAAGTACCGAGGTCACATAAACATTGTTTATATTCTTGTGTGTTATGATGGTAAATAACATGGTCACATAAACATTGTTTATATTCTTGTGTGTTATGATGGTAAGTACCGAGGTCACATAAACATTGTTTATATTCTTGTGTGTTATGATGGTAAATAACATGGTCACATAATCACTGCTTATGTTTTTGTGTGTTATGATGTTAAATACCAAGGTCACATAAACATTGTTTATGTTCTTGTGTGTTATGATGTTAAATACCAAGGTCACATAAACATTGTTTATGTTCTTGTGTGTTATGATGTTAAATACCAAGGTCACATAAACATTGTTTATGTTCTTGTGTGTTTTGATGATAAGTATCAGGTTTAGTTAACCCTTAGTCCTGTTCTTGTGTATCATGATAGTAAGTACCAGGTTTGAGTAAACATTGTCCATGTTCTTGTGTATTATGATGGTAAGTACCAGTTTTGGGTAAACATTGTCCATATTTTTGTGTATTATTGATGGTAAGTACCAGGTTTGAGTAAACAATGTCCATGTTCCTGGTACTTACCATCATAATACACAAGAACATGGACAATGTTTACTCAAACCTGGTACTTACCATCATAATACACAAGAACATGGACAATGTTTACTCAAATTTTGTGTATTATGATGGTAAGTACCAGGTTTGAGTAAACACTGTTTATGTTCTTGTGTATTATTGATGGTAAGTACCAGGTTTGAGTAAACATTGTCCTTGTTTTTGTGTATTATGATGGTAAGTACCAGGTTTGAGTAAACATTGTCCATGTTCTTGTGTATTATGATGGTAAGTAGCAGGTTTGAGTAAACATTGTCCATGTTCTTGTGTATTATGATGGTAAGTACCAGGTTTGAGTAAACATTGTCCACGTTCTGATAGTATCAGTTCTAGGTAACCATTGTTAAAGTGCTTTTAGTTGTAGATGTACAATTAGCTGTGAAAATTACAACAGTGCTCCGATTCAGAATTTTGTTTAGGATATAACATGGGCATACTTGTATGGGTACCATATGTTATCAAAATCATTGTGACTTGAAGATCCAGGAAAACACTATTCTATAACAAAAGGTAGGAATTAAACAGAGAGATCTCTTTGAAATCATAAAACAAATTTTCTTTTTAATAGCCAATAGTTTTTTATAGCCAATCATGTGTTACTACAGCTTAGTTAATTCCTCCTGTTCCTGTTGGAACGTAGTGCAATGAGTGATCTCCACTTTTCCCTGTCACATGTCTTTTTTTGGCCTCCCTCTAGTTCATTTCCTGTAAATTTTATTTAATGGAGTTTTGCCAGGTTTTCTTTGGGAGGCCATGTTTCCTATCGCCATGTTGTGGTACCCAGTTTCGTGCTTTCTTGGCATGTCAACTATTTGGAAGTCTGATGAGATTTATTCTACACTCTGTCACAGTATCTTCAAGTCGCCTCTGTCTGCTAGATTGTAGGATCTCTTCATTGGTGATGACTTTGCATGAGATACCAAAGATTTTATGGAGACATTTTTTGTGGAAAACGCTGAGTTTTTGAGATACTTTTGTATACTTTTATGGTCTTCTTCCACGTCGTGCAAGAGTATATGTATGTTGGTAAGACCACAGGGGTATAAATCATAGTTTTGTGGTCACATGGTTGGTATTAGTTGACCAAATATTTCTAAGTCACTGGAACACTGCTGTTGCTTTTCTCATAAGCGCATCAACCTCATTTTACAAATCTCCAGTCCTTGCGATATTGCTGCCCAGGTATGTGAAGTGAACAATACTTTGATGTTTTATTGGTTGACTGTTAAGGTGTGACTGATGCTGTCTAATAAGCATAACCTTGGTCTTCTTACTACTTAGTCTGAGGTCAGCTTTCCTCCCAGCATTACCTTCAAGATTAGTAGCCATGTGATGTAGTGTATCTGATGATTGGCTCAGCAAGACTATATCATTAGTGAAGTCAAAATCTGATAGCTGTTGTTGTTACCATGGGAATCTATATTCAGGCCCAACCATTACTCTTGTCATAATGAAGTTGACAACAAAAAGAAAAAGAAATGGAGACAGTATGCAACCTTGTATACTGCTTAAGCCTTATAGTAAATACACCAGGTGTTTTGTCTTAGTAATTGTGAGTATCCATAAAATTAATTGGTTTACCTTTGATATTTTGATCCTCAAACTTTTTTTTTTTTCAGATCAAAATTTACATGTAATAAGACTTTCTATTTTCTAACAGTATGTTAACCTACAGTCCTGCTCTTGACAACTTATACTGATTTCTAATCAACTCATTTAAAAAATAAAATAGATCAAAACTGTTGTAATTTTTGAAGTTTCAAGTGTTAAAGGTAAAGTATCTGAATTGTGATAGAACATGACCTTGGTGCTTTAATCTCTTAGGTGCATACTTTTTTTCAATCATATCATAATCAGAATCAATTTTAGATAATTCAGTTTCATAGTCAGAATCATTGTCAGCTTGCACAAGTTTAATTATATCTACAAGTGTGAAAACACTGAAGCGACTCGATTCCATTTTGAGTTTATTTTCTCATAAAAATTAAACAGTTTTTAACTGCAGATATTACCGATGTTTTAGACTGCAACATATGCCATTTTGGATATGGATCAGTGGCTAAGATCATTGTCTGTGCATATTAGGCTTAGTCTGTTGATTTTATGTAGTCAGTTCACATTTCTAGTTGGAAATTCAAACCATATTATGCAGTTGCCACACAGTGACGGGAGCAGCTAAAGTCATCTGCAGATATTACCAATGTTTTAGACTGCAACATATGCTATGTTGGATATGGATCAGTGGCTAAGATCATCGTCTGTGCATATTAGGCTTAGTCTGTTGATTTTATGTAGGCAGTTCACATTTCTTGTTGGAAATTCAAACCATGTTATGCAGTTGCCACACAGTGACAGGAGCAGCTAAAGTCATCTGCAGATATTACTGATGTTTTAGACTGCAACATATGCCATGTTGGATATGGATCAGTAGCTAAGATCATCGTCTGTGCATATTAGGCTTAGTCTGTTGATTTTATGTTGTCAGTTCACATTTCTAGTTGGAAATTCAAACCATATTATGCAGTTGCCACACAGTGACGGGAACAGCTAAAGTCATCTGAAAAGATTACAAGATGCTTGTAACATCTGTTTTCATGAAAGTAAAACTACTAAGAACACTGTCAATTACAAACAAACCGGAACAAAAGTTTTAGTTAATAAAATGAGTTATATGTTGGTGTTTTTTAAATATTAAAATTCTAACATGATTCATAATGTCTTTAAAGTTGAAGCATTCACCAGTAAAGATGTACCTGAAAATTGAGTAAGCAAGGAAGACTTTAGAAGATGTTACTTATAAATATTGATCATACACATTGATACATTTGATTTGTTAATACTCTGAAATTAGGAAAAATCCATTTCTAAAAACTTCACATCTCTCTTGCACATATAACATTGTAATAATTCTGATGTTCTTCATATGATTACAGAGATAACTTACATTTTTTTATGTGAATTTTTATACTGTGTTTCCCTCAAGTATTTTCTTTTTAACATTTTCTTGACAGTTTGAAATGTATTCTATTTCAGGGCAACATAATGATGCAAGAATGAACATAGCAATCGCAATTACAGCGGCAAGGCTAGGAGCAACTGTAGCTAATCATACCATGGTAACTAGTTTGACAAAGACGAAAGAAGAAGATGGAATAGAGAGAATTAATGGTGCAATAGTTAAAGATTTATTGAGTGGTAAGCTTTGTGTTTGGAAATTACAAAATTTGAACTGATGATGATGTGAAGATTTTACAACATTTACTTTAATGTTGTGTTATCGATGGTAACTTTATAAACATGCAAGTCATCTTCTAAGTGTTTTCAGAGATATATTGGAAGATTACAGCTAAATTTACATCGTATCATTTGACTACATTACATGGAATTTCAGTAAAAGTGAGAGCAAGCCTGGCTAGTTCAAATTGTTCTTTAAATGGTTACACTTTCGTCATTAATTTCCTTCCTTGCATATTTTTGAACCGAGGTGGTTCGCAAGTACTTATTACTTATGTTGCTGTTATTGACTTAAACAGTTAGTCTTTCAGTGTAGTCAATAAAATGGTAAAGTACAAATAACCAGTTATTTGTACTTTACCATTTTATTTTGATTACTATAAAGCGTAGATGTGTTTTTATATATATAGATAAGTTAGACAATTATTTGTACTTTACCATTTTATTTTAATTACTATAAAGCGTAGATGTGTATTTTTATATATATATATAGATAAATTAGACAATAACTTATCTATATATATAAAAACACATCTACGCTTTATAGTAATCAAAATAAAATGGTAAAGTACAAATAATTGTCTAATTTATCTATATATATAAAAACACACATCTACGCTTTATAGTAATTAAAATAAAATGGTAAAGTACAAATAACTGTCTAATTTATCTATATATATAAAAACACACATCTACGCTTTATAGTAATTAAAATAAAATGGTAAAGTACAAATAACTGTCTAATTTATCTATATATATATAAAAACACACATCTACGCTTTATAGTAATTAAAATAAAATGGTAAAGAAATGCAAACATCATCTTAGTGTCAAGAGTGGTGGTGTATCTTTATGTTAAACCAAAATAAGTTAGTGTTTGTTTTAGAACTTTCAATTTGAAAGTGACACTAAATTTCTTAGTGTCATGTTTTTTTATTCCATTTTTAAAAAAATGTTTTTCTCAAATTTTTTTTTTAAGGAAAAGAGTGTGAAATTAAAGCAAAATGTGTAATAAATGCTACTGGACCGTTTACTGATTCCATACGCAAGATGGATGATCCCAGTATTCAGAATATATGTCAGCCTAGTATAGGAGTTCATATAGTTCTTCCTGACTATTACAGGTAAGTAAGCTATTTGAAGTGATAGCTTTTATATTGCTATAATAGTAATTTCTATGAGTTGAAATAATCATTTAAAGTTGGTTGTTTCTTAATCAAACGTAGATGAACTTCAGAAAACCTTGGTGATGAACGAAGTTTGGATTTGAAAAACAAATATTCCTTTAAACTTAAAACATCATAGTCTGTACAGTTTTGCAAGTCTTCTAATTGATAAATATTGTGTGTCTTTCACGATTATGATTTTACTACATTTTTTTTACGCTGTTTATTGTTGGTAGTTTTTATGTAACTATGTAAACTTCTATCACAAGATTATCAACTATTCTGTCAAACTATTAACCCTTTAGCAATTGGGAGGTCAAAGTACACTTGTCACAAACTTTTACAGATTTACATTCAAAAATTAATTAAACTACTTTATTTTCAATTTATATAAGTAAATTTGCCATCAAAATGTAGTTAATAAATCAAATGTTAATATTATTTAAGTTTACGCTCTTAATTTCATAAGGAAATATTTTAAAATTCCTCAATCTCTCCTAGTATGAGAATTGGGACATTTGCTCTCAAGGTCTTCTTTCTTTTCTAATGTATTTACCACCCTTCCAAGAAGTGTGTAATTTAATCTAAATTATTCGTTATAATATGGATATTACTAAGGCAAAGCATGATTATTTTTTTTTTTAGGTTTCAGTCTTACTTTCCAAGCCATGAGCTATAAAATCAGACCCACTTGCCACATCCTCTATTTCACATATTGTTAATAGTTTACTTTCATGCTTTGTACTATATTATTTATAAACAATACTTTAAAGCAAAAACTTTGATCTATCATTACCATTATGAGAAGCTCTTCTACTTCGATGTTCATCTCATGGGGAACCAATCCCATTACCATTATGAGAAGCTCTTCTACTTCGATGTTTATATCATGGGGAACCAATCCCATTACCATTATGAGAAGCTCTCCTACTTCTATGTTCATCTCATGGGGAACCAATCCCATTACCATTATGAGAAGCTCTTCTACTTCGATGTTTATATCATGGGAAACCAATCCCGTTACCGTTATGAGAAGCTCTTCTACTTCAATGTTCATCTCATGGGGAACCAATCCCATTACCATTATGAGAAGTTCTTCTACTTCAATGTTCATCTCATGGGGAACCAATCCCATTACCATTATGAGAAGCTCTTCTACTTCAATGTTTATCTTATGGGAAACCAATCCCATTACCCTTATGAGAAGCTCTTCTACTTCAATGTTCATTTTCACATTGATGTTCTATGCCTTCAGCTTCGTGGCCAGTTGTTGTTAAGTCTTTTGTCAGAGAAACCATATTATTCTCTCAAATGTTAACCCATTCTTGCTAATCTTTGTCCCTTGCTGTCTATCAGTCTCATTGGGCTGTTTTCAACATTTAGAATTCATTAGCTTTTCTAACTCTTTCTTCTCAACAAATTGCTTTTTTTTAATGATCTTATTTTATCAGCTTCCTGTACAGCAGGTTACAGAACTGTATTATCTGTCATCTTTTGATTCAATTCAATCTTTTCATCTACAATGTCCCTGAGTTACTCCACATTTCTTGACTTCTCCTTTTGAACCTTTAGTGACATGTTCAGTTTATCATTTTTCTCTCAACATGTTTTTTACTTTTGCTTGCTTCTGGTTGAAGACATTGAGGGCTGTTTGTTGTTATCTCCACATACCAAGTATTTCATTGCATCTCATAACAAGCTGCTTATACCTTATCACTCCTCCTACTTTGCAACAACTTTAGCAAATTGATTGTTATAGTTGTTCATTCTTGTTTACCATGATATACCCAATTACTTGATTAGTGAATTTTGGATTTCATCTTACTGAATTTGACATCTAGCAGTGTCTTTAGTGTCCTTGTTGCAGTACCCTTTGAAGGAAATTCTGCAGGATATTATGTGAAAGAATCGAAATCAGTTTTCAACTTACAACCCCATTTGCTGTTTCTTCAGCTTCAGGATTTTGTTTGCTTTCTTTGATGATTCTCCAGGCCAGGTGGAATCTGGTAACAGTTCAGTTCCTTTACACTTGCATTCCTTAAAAATAAATGTTACCAATTACCTCTTGATTTACTCTTAAATGCTATTCCACCTTCTGCACTAGTGCTCCATGAGAGTGTGATGCCTTCTGGAACTGAACATAGAGTGCCTCACTGGGACACTTTATCCCACCTTTTTGTGCTAATCTCTGAATAGCATTCTGAGATGTCATAACCATTCTCCAGTAGATGTCTCTTAGCTCCAACAAGGATGGGGTACATCATTCAACTTCATTTTTACCTACTATTACTTCCTTACTTGGTGTTCCCATTGCTCTGTCCTTGAGTTGTTGGCTCCATCCTCAGGACCTTCTGTCAGTTTTTGGTTCTCTTTGGATACCTGCTGACTAGGTCTGTTTTGTGACTTTGCTGGCTTTTTTGGATTTTGGGAATATACTTATGAAAAAAAAAAACAAGATCTATTCAATTAAAGTTATGTTTTTGATAATCAGTTCATTGTAAAAAAAGAAATGGCACTCACAAAAGAAGAACATGTGGAATCCTGGATAAGAAAAGAGTTTACTTTCTGTTATCATGAGACAATGGTCATGGAAAGAACTGAATTTCCTAATGTGATTTTATGGAGTATTGTTGTTTCAAAATAATGGAGTATTACTAAAAAAATTTTACTAATAAAATTGAAAACTTTTAAATGAAAAATACTTGGAAAAGACTGTCAAGTACCAAATACAGTTATGTATGTTCTCATCATTCTAACAGATAGTGTTGAAAATATTTTGTCTCAAAGAGCTATAACTCTAATCAACCTTTAACCTTTTCCACATGGATCAAAGGCCATGTCATTGCATTTGTTGACTCGCATTTAAAATGTTCTTGAACTACTATTTTATGAATTTATGCCAATAAGTTTGGTATCAAACTATATATTTTAATATTATACATTATTTAATTTCTCAATTAAAAAGGGAATATAAAAAAACACCAAGAAATCAATTTTTGTGTGTCACGTGATATGTTGAATGCAGCACTGGTTCAAATTAGATGTTTGTGATGTCAAAATACAGAATCTATAGTTTCATATGAATTAGGAACTCAAATTACCAATATTAACAAGCTAGAATATAAAATAAGAACCTCCTATCTTTTCTATTTGCTGAGATATCACTCATGTACTGAATTAAACAAAGTGGCCCCACTCACCTGTTTCCATTTTTAGAAATGGTCTCTTATATACACTTACTTTTGTCTAAGACATGTGAATAACCAATTGAAAGCTCAGAATGTCCCCCTTGTGGCTTTCTCAGCCATTTTCAAGTGTTACAACATCATCTCATTCTTTCAATGCAAATCTTCAAGCTGGTGAGGTGAGTCTTTAGTCTGCTTAAAATTTCATATATTTTTTAGTTCTTTATTTACTTTTTTATGTTTTAAGAAAAATAAGTTTAAGAACGTATTTGTAAATAGTAATAATGTATATACATATTTTATGTATAATAATTGAAATGTGACTGTATTTTACAAAATACTAGTCCACTAAATTTGAAAATTTTCTGATGCACAAAAGCATTTTTAATCTTAAAATGAAAATTAAGGCATGAGAAAAACATTGCTTAACAAACCTTAAGACTTAATAACAAAAATCTGATATTTTGCATATGAAAGCCTTGTAATATTTACTGATAATCTGCCAAATGTCTTGAATATACGCTTACTAATTTAAAAGTTATAGCATGAAAACTATAACAAGCACAAAATGGTTTCAAGGTCGGTCTCAGGGACCTAGCCCTTGAAATTTAGTTTTGTCATTCATTTATTTTTTATTGTATATTTGTTTATAAATGCCAGGCATAGATTATTAAAACTGAGATCCTTATGTATTAAATGTTCACATTTACAAATTCATAGTTTTTATCAGCATGTCAGTGCTAATTTTTTAAATGTTACTTTTAGCCCAGACAAGATGGGACTGTTAGATCCTTCTTCAAGTGATGGTCGTGTGATCTTTTTTTTACCATGGCAGAAAACTACAATTGCAGGTTAGTGAGGGCTTTTTTATGTTTTTTTAGTTAAATATTGTAAATTTATATTTTATTATCTGCAATTAGTTTTATAACATTAAAAGGAGACTTGGAATTATGATTAGGCTGTCTGCTTAAAATCTGTTTTAATTGATTTTGTCATAAAACTGGGATATTTAACAAAAATAGTGCGTATTTATGTATGGTATGTGTGGCTATGTGCCTAACAGCAAACAAACAAACATTTTGATATTTAATGTTAGATTACTAATGATGATTTTGTTGGCTTCTACTATAGTTTAAAACAGTTTAACAGTTTGTTTTTGACTGATGATGGTGGTTAATATGATGTTGTTTTTTGATCTGAGAAATTGTATCTTGAATACATAATTGAAATGCACAGCTATTTGAACAAAGATAATTTATAGTACAAGGTATTGTTATTCTCTTCAGGCACTACAGACCGTGCCTGTGAAGTTACCCTCCATCCCTCGCCTACAGAAGAAGATATTCAGTTTATCTTGAGAGAAATAAAGAACTACTTAAGTGGAGATATAGAAGGTGATGTGGTTTTCTGTATTAAACAGTTTTTCAGTAAAAAGAAACATCTAACAATTCATCACTGTCATAACTTTCTTGATAGGAGCAGAATTTTTCATGATACTGGATGATGTGATGATCATATGACATTATGTTCTGGAACTGTACATGCTTTCTGGGAAACACCTGCTAGCATTTTGACTGAGTGGCAGAGTTTGTAAAATTTTTAAGATATATCTTTTGATTTACCTATGAGTAAAAGGATGGAAATGGAATTACGGGCATAGTATGAAATACGTGTATCATAGGCATGATATAGAGAAAAGAATTAAATTATCTCTGCAACATAGCAGTTGCTGATCAGCTGGCAGTACCTTGTTTATTATTAATCTTTTAACCTGAATGCCTGTTTTTAGATGTAAAGCATTGAAGAAACTAAGTGACCTCAATTTTTTTGACATCTTATATCCTTCAGGTATATAATAACATTTTCTTAGGAACAAAAAATTTCTTATTTCATTTCACCAGCGTTAAAGGGAAGCTTTTAATTACAATTAACCAAGATAGCTTTTGTTTTTAATTGAAATACCAGCTTAGTTCCATCAACACGAGCTCAGTCAATTTGACCAATCATGTGACCTATTTGTACTTGTTTAACGTGTTTATAGTTTTGATACTACTAACTTTTAATATAGTAAGTATATCTTCCCAAAATTTGGCAGACTTTCAGTAAACATTTTATGTCTTTCACATACAAATAAATCAAATTTTTTGTGAAGTATTTTTAATAAATTAAAAAAAAATTATGTCCATGAATATATATATATCAAGTATTTTTGTTACTAGTCTGCATGCAAAGTGATTTTCATATTAAGGTTAAAAATTTTTTTTTTCCATATCGAACATCTCAAAATTCATTTGCATAGTCTCTAAAACCTCTGAAATACATTTCAGATGTTTGTTTTCAGTAAAACTTAATATTTCATGTTATACTGTATTCAAGCTTGGTCAATTTGACCGACCTTGTAACCACCAGAAATAAATCTAAATTACTCCTTTTTTTTTTTCTAGAATGACTTCAAATTGTAACATAAAACTATGTTTACTTATCCTAAATAGCTTTAAGTATGTAACAGTATACATCTATTTATAGTTAAATGTAATTGTTTTATTGTCCTTTGAACCATATCTAACTACTACTGTTCATGCCATTATAAGTTGTAAGTCACTTGTGGAACACAGAGCTCATGTTACGCTATCGAATTACATTACCCACGAGCTGCTCGCTTGCATGTCTCATGAAACATTTTTATTATTATTATTAATTGTTTTATCTAATCTATCCTTAATTAACCTAAAGAGATCCTATTTTTACTTTTCAGTTACTTTATAATAATAATAAAGAAAAAATGAACATGAAAAACAAGAAATAAAGTGCATACCCGGGTCTTCTTTTTTCTGCTGTTGACTATTGATGACACTTAACCCTACTTTTTTATACTATTACTAATAGTGCACTAAATATTTTAGTTAATTAAATAATGCAGCAAAGAACATAGAATAATTACATGCAAACTATGCAACAAGAGCCATTACAAATTCATCCAAGCTATTCATTATCTATCCTGTGGGAACGAAGCTTGTACTCACAGAGAAAAATGACAATTCCAATATGGTACATTACCTCCGCTCACACAATTAGCTATTCTCAATTAGTGCTGCTCTCTATGTGCAAAAAATTTGCATATGCATGCCACAAGTCTTCTGCCTCCCCTCCATTGGAAATGACTCATTCCAATAATTCTCTCATGCAACTTATCATGCCACACACTCTCGTTACTCATGTGACTCCCTCTATTCTATTCTACCAGGCTATCACTTCTTATTTGGCAATGCTCATGTTTAGACATTTAAAATTTTGCTTTAGTGTGCTCTGTCTTTGTAACTTGAATAGTTATACTTCTGAAGTGGTCTTTTTTATTAATCAGTTTTGATTATACAGCTGAGGCCTTTATTTTCAATTCTTTTTCTCTCTCTCTCTCCCTCTCACACATGTTTGTATTCATCTATCAAACAATTTGTTTGACTTATTATTTGACATGAATTCCCAGGTTAATGTTACCACTTCGGGTATCACGCCTACTACAAGCACTTTTTCACTAGCGGCAGGTGGGGGTGACCCGGTGTTGGATTTATCTGTCATTATTCGCCGAGATTGATCATTATATGGGTCAACCACCTTCTCCTGATTTTGCCCCACTTCCTCAAGAACAAGCCAAACATGTTCAGTCTGATGAAGATTTTGATAGTCTTTTTCCACCACAGGATTTTGCCATGTTTTCCTATGGCCCACCTGCAGAATCAGCTAGGCCTATTACAGCATTTTTAGACATGATTTCTCAAGTATGTAATATTTTATCCCTTTCCATGGTTTCCTATAATCTGTTTCTTCTTTTGTTGCATGATAGTTCTTCTTCTCCTTATTTAGTCTTTCCACCTGCCCCATATATTGGGGTTCATGATGAGCATTTTGCTTCCCAATTGTTTGAGGGTGCCAGAATGCCTCACCCTCCATGGCCTATGGATCAGTTTGCTTTGGCATACCATCAAGCTGATTGTCCATTCCTAGACTCTCAGAAGTTGGTGTCTATTTTGCCATCTTTGTAGCACTCCCTAATTTAACCCATGCACAGTTTTCATGCCTTCATCTTACCCTTACTTCACTTCTACGGTATTCATCTACTATACATCTCCTTTCTGTGTGACTTTGACAGGGTAAGTTTGTTTTATTTTTTCATGGACCTTATTTCCCTTTTCATGTAATTACTCATTGTTTGGATCCTGCTCTGTGGTGAGTGGTGCCAGACCAGGTATTCTTTGACCTTTAAAACCTGCATGGTTCAGCCATGTTGACTTCCTTACTATGTTCCGTGGCCACGCAATGCACACTATTCCACAAGATTGCTTGAATGTTATCCTCAGGAAGGAATTGCTTCATAAATATGCCTGTTCCAGACCGTACCACCCATGGACTACAGGGGGATAGCTGCCCATCCCTGCCATGCCTTGTATTGAATAAATCATTATGGTCTGCTTTTAAAAATAAGGTTTCATGGTCACCCATTGCACTGTCTCAGGTGTTGATATTCCTCCAGACTCTTCACCATGTTTCACCCTCTTTTCTTCTAGTGTAATTTGGGAGTCCTTACCACTTTCCAATTCCAAGCTGTTGGGATGGTGGACAGTGGAGGCATCCTCCTGAATGGTTTAATGAAATAAATAATCAATACAGAAATATCATTCAATGCAGAGAAGGGCAGTGGTGTTCTGCTGATGTAGATGACGTGATATCCTCCACTGTAAAGAAGCATACAAAAACCAAAGGAGTGAAATGTCAAATTGCAGTTCATCCCCTTAGATTGGGATCCCTCATCCTACCCCCACGTGGATGTCAGTTCCCAGTGACTGGGTTTTGGATTTAGAGTAGAACCAATCAACATAAATCCTCACACATGCATTACAGATGTCTATCTTCCTCCTTCAGTTATACTTCATCTGCTTCATGGGTTACAGTGGTGGTACTTGTGATTTTTTTGTTCTTTCCCTTCTGCTCTCCCTCAATGTATTTTATTGTGCCTGGGTTGGTTCTGGTCAGTTTCACTGTTGAGTGAGTTAATTTCTCTATGGTAGACATCGTTTTTGATACAGGATGTCGGGTTTCTGGATCGATATATCATTTTCTATTCTTAATATGTGCCCTGTTCTGGAGTCGGGGTTTGAGATCCCTTCCGGTCTCTTGAACTTGAAGTGAAGACGGTATAGTCCTTATCCTACCCCCTCGTGGATGTAGGTTCCCAGCAGCATGGGTTTGGGATGTAGTTGACTTGCTAAGTGCAGTCTTTCACTCCCTAGCCACTCTACACCTGGGGCACTTCCATTGTTTTTTCCCACACTACTTGGATGTGCTCCTCTGTTTTTCTGCCCATATATATATATATGCCACTTCTTTTTCTGATGGCGAAGAGTATGCCTGGTTCAGACATGGTGCAATCTCCCACATCAGATCTTTGAATCTGACTCTCGTCTCAAGGTGTGTCCTTTGGAAGCTTTTGAAGAATGTTTCTTTTCTTCACTCGCACCAGTCCCTCCACCTATTCAATGTAGGATTCTAGCTATTTATGCGAGAAGAGGTAATGTACCATATTGGAAGTTATAATTTTCCTATACTGAAAATGTATTTCTGATAGGTACTTACCTCCTCTCACACTCCCCCCCCCCTTCCTTTCTACTGTAAATTAGTGCTTCCATTTTCTGCCAAAACTCAATGTGATAGTCTGGTAGAATTGAATAAAGGGAGTCACATGCATAACGAGAGTGTGTAGCACTCTCTTTGGTGGAGGGTTGTCGCACGATAATTTGCATGAGAGACATACTTGAATAAGTCATTTCCAATGGAGTGGAGGCAGAAGGCTTGTGGCATGTGTGAAAAAAAACTTTTGCAGCACTGAACGTGAAGAGCTATTTATGTGAGAGGAGGTAAGTATCTTTTGGAAATACATTTTCAGCATAGGAAATTATAACTTCCCTGTTCAGAAAACAATGTAATATGATACGTCATTTGATAGATGAAAACCTTGGCTTTTGATTGGTTATACATAATCTAGTATTAAGAATAAGACAGAACTATTAATGAATCCTGAAAGAGAGAATATAACAGGTGGGTGTGGCAAGAGGTGTCTGATTTTCTATTTGATGGCTCTGTAACCAAACAAGATTGAAGGCTATAAAAATTATATTTTGTCTGGGCAATGATGATTTTTATGGTGAGTAATTTACGTTAAATTTCATACTTATTGGAGGAGTAGTGAATAAAATAGATAAGATGGGATGCCTAGAGAAAATATGTCACATTTCTCACACTAGGGGAAGTTTGTGATTTTTTAATATATTGCCTTAAAACTTGTATACTATTAAAATATGGATTATTAGCTACGATTTTATGGTAATTGGCATAACATAAAAACAAAAAGTAGGTTAATTAAATTTTGAATGTAAGTCACTATAACATGACATGCATATTAAATGATACCTGAGCAGAGAGGCTTAAAGAACAAACAACCAAAAGTAACCATTTCTTCATTGACTTAAATCTTAGTTTAGTTGTTATTAAATGTATGGAAATATTTTTTTTCGTGGCTAACTTCTCATTTCATAAATATGCTTGAACAGCTTTGACATTAAGTTATGTATATACAAAGCATGGACACAAGTAAATAGACACCACCTTTTCAGAAAAAATTAAATTTTTCAGTCATATTCACATGAATTGATATATTTATAATTTAATTAATATCTAGTAGATCTTCCTTGTGCTTCGTGGAGTTCGTTGATCCTTTGGGGCATCGTGAGAATCATCTCGTCAATCTTAGATTGTGGGATGTTCGCCCACTCTTGCTTCAAAACTTGGAGTAGATCGCTCTTCGAAGTTGGTTTTTTGTTGTTTCTTGACTTGCCGGTCGAGTATGACCCAGGGGTTTTTGATGGGGTTCATGTCAGGAGATTGGCTCGGCCAGGGCAACTTCTGGAATAAAGTGGCAAGAGTCCTTCCTCCAATATTTCGACGTATTTCGCAAAATTTATGTTGCCAACGCACTCCACTAAGCTCGATCTCTCACCAACCCAAACAGCTCCCCAAACCATCACGCTGAAACCACCATGCTTCACAGTTGGCTGCAATCTGTTGAGCCAAAACTCTTGGTGAGACATTCTCCAGACCCATATCCTTCCACTGTTCGAAAATTGAGCGAATCTTGATTCGTCTGAGAACAATACAGTCCTCCTAAAGTCCAGAGGCTTGGTCATCATATCACTTGCCCACTTCTTTCGTCTGACTATGTTGGCAGGTCTTAATACAGGCTTCCGTCTAGCTGCTCTGCAACAATAACCCAATCTGTGGAGAATCCGTTGAACAGATTTCAGGCTCATCCCACCAACTTTGGCCACTTCAGCAGTCCTTAATCTAGGATCCATTTCGATGCTCCTCTTGACAGCCCTTTTTGTCTTCTCCGATGGACCAGGACGACCTGGACGCTGCTCAGTTGTTTC